GTGTGTGTGTGTGTGTGTGTGTGTGTGTGTGTGTGTGTGTGTGTGTGTTCTCCAAGTCTGCATTATGTTTTGCATGTCATACAAACCTGAGGATGCTGGTAATATAAAGTTGGTTTTACAAAAACTCTAGTTTTTGTAAAATCTTAGTTTCCTTTATTTGCATTAAAAAATAAAGTTAAGTGGGATTTTTTTAAGTAGCTAAAGCYCAAAGAAAAACTTTGAACAACTAAGAAATAATACTGATTTAGACTATTTTAAAAGATAATTTTTGAAAACTTGACTCACTGATAGCAAAATGTAAAGAGAAAGCTGTGTATCGACATCATATTGACATCTTGAATAAATAGCAAATAACTAACCTGTGCTTTTCCTAATTATTTTACCGTTTTCTAAAAATGGTAAAGTTCAAACATGCCTGGCCAAATTAAAAGTCGCCACCTGGATTTAACTAAGCAAATATACAAGCCATCATCGTCGGATAATTACTGCATGAGTGATTATCTTTTAGCTGGAAACAAGTTATTTAACCCTAACTGGTGCAATGAGTTCTTTTCATTTCTTAAACAATGTGGAAAGATACATCCCGTGGAAAACATGTCATGTTTGAGAAGGGTCAAATCATTGGCATCAAGCAGAGAAAACATTTAGGAGATTGCAGAAACAACTAAAATTGGKTTGAGAACTGAATAACGCATTATTAAAAACTGGAAGGATAGTGGGGACCCATCGCCTTCAAGGATGGACCCATAATGCCTAGTGTCTACTGTACAAGGCTGTGGGGGCAGCGCTACGATCTGGGGTTACTGCTGTTGGATTGGTCTATGAAGCTTATTGAAACAATGACACAGCAAATGTGTGCCATGATCAAAGCTAAAGGTTGTCCAATGAAATATTAGTGTGTGTGTGTCCTTTTTATATATTTATTTATGTTTTTATTTTTTTTATTTTTATTTTTTGGCCAGGCAGTGTTGGTTTAATATTTACTGGCAAATCTGCAAAAAACATTAATAATCAGATTTAGGATCATTCAATTTTTTGTGATTGTTCTGCCTTTTTTTAAAGCAGTTCCAATTCTTGTACTAAGAATGCAGCAATTAAGCAGTGATGAATGAAACTCTAGCAAACCTTTCTAAAGTAGTAGAATCATCAATGCAAAACGTTTCTGGAAGAAAACATAGGCTGCAAAGAAGAAACTTGATCTAGGAAGAGCGGCCATGAAACACTGAACATAAGTCTGTACCTTACAGAAATAAGAAACAAGTCAATAATCTTAAAACTACATTATCAAAGACATTTGCAACAACTTAAGATATATTTATATTTTTTGTTTGAATGTATTACTTGTTTATCAGACCGAGAATTAATTCATTTTCAGCTTAATTGTAAATTGGTACACAAACTAGTGATGAGCGTATAAATGTAGCTGATAAAGCACAAGAAATTCTCTTCAGTCTATTCACTCCAGAGCAATGACATTTATAGTCTTAATCTAAATGTCTAAAATTAGCTGAGMATGTAATGGCTCATAATAAAGTGCTTTCCTTTGAGACTCAAAATCATTTGGAAGGGCGCAGACTTTGCAGTTTAAGTTAAGACTGTCAGTTTCATTTTGCAGGGATTTTCAGCCATATCAGATAGATTAGTGCTTCTTTAGGAGGGGGAAAAAAAGGGTCTTCTCTTCTAAAAATATTCAACTGCAACTCCACTTCCAGGCTGATTATTTGGAGATAGCACACGGTCAGGGTAAATGAGAAAAGTTTAAAGAAGTCTGAGTCATAACTGGCCTTGATTCAATATRCTCATGCCCATCATTTTATAAATAAATCTGACAGCTATTCCGCCCACACTCCTGGCAGAAATCGACAGATTTGATGAGAGAAAAGGCCATTAAATGTTTTTGTTTTGAGACGCAATATAAATCCTGAAGAAATTGATGTCTGGTTTTGAATGATCTTTAAAAATATATTAAAAGGCTTTTAAACTTTTAGTTTGATTTAACCATCCATAGAGCTATGTAACATATGATCATTTGAAGGTTGAATATAAAAGCAACTAAAATATGTTGGATCAGAAATTCTCACTTTTTTTCCCTGCAAGTCATGCAGTCAGTCGCCCACATTTGTTAAGCAAAATAACAAGAAAACATTTGCAAATTTTTCATGTGCGCAACCCACAGACTTAGCTCCACTGCTCATCCTATACATGTTCCTTACAAATGTGGCAACATTTAAAGGGGAATTCAGACTTTCTGCTTGTTCTTTGCTCCTGTTTCATTATTTCTACAAATTTCAACAAACTGTGCTGCCGTGATGCAGTTAGCTGCAGACTTGTTTTTGGACTTTTTCATTTTTGTCAACATGTTTCGAAGATGCCTTTTCAATGAAAGTAGGCTCAAATTTAATCATCCGAGTTTTTCTAGAGACCCCTTAAGTAGTTCAGTTCCATTGTGCAGGTTTGTGSAAAGACAACAAAGACTATTCTGTTCCATCTTACATGAAGAATATTTTATCTGCCCTTGTTCCGAATTTGATCTAAAACAAAGCAGTTTTTCCCCCAGCTATGGAATAGCCCATGTTAGCAAAGTGTGGTACTCATCTTCATCACTTGACACATTTACGCTGCCTTTGGTTGGGGAGCTTTGTTTACAAAACAAATGACCACATGGTTTTCAAATGGTATTAATTTCCTGGCTTTTCTAAAACGCATCAAGTTGATCACGTTTCAATCTGATGACATGAGCCATGTAACATTATTTTATACATTTCCATCTACTTTTGCATTGGATTTTATCCCTATCATGTTTTTTTTTTTATTTTAAGATGCTTTCTCCAAAAAAGAAACACAATAGGGATCTTTTCCTAAAATTTCATTGAAATATCTTGATCCTTAACCTCTTAAGTCCCAAGCTTTTTCTTTGGGCTCGTTTTTCCTTTCCCCTAGCTATTTAGGATTAGTAGAATATTATAAATATAATTAAGATTTAAACATTAAAAAAGGTATATATATTTAAAATGAAACATAAATCTTTAAATCTAGTCCATGTGAATAAGGACAACCAGTTAAAGCCAATATTCTCAACAATAAGATGGAGTTTCTCAGGAGGTAAATGAGCAAAAATAAAGCTAAAAAGGTCAGAAACGTCCTATTGGTTCAGCTATGAATTGCAGCAGAAATCATGAGCTTGATTACACCTAAACAATCATCCATAACTTCCTCCATACTTGAGATAATCACGTTTTTTTGTGTTATTTTGTAGGGGTTTGAATCCACTGTCAGATTTAAAAATGTTATCCACATCCCATCATCTACCAAACACAAATGTCCTTACTTTTTGTGTTAAGTTTGTAAGGAAAGTGTTGTGTTATTTGAGCTGCTACTACTCATGCTTCATAGAAACTACTTTATAAACTGTGTGAGAAGCAACTTTTCAACAGGACTGTCAGCAGATCTCCTTCACTGAAGACAAGAACAGTCACATTCCCCCTAATATGGCTCATTCCCAGGGATGCTTTGCTTACCATTGTAGATCATAGCAGCCATGCAGGGGGTCCAACAGGTGTAGTAAGCTGCCATCACAGGAACGAGCACCCTCGCTGCCACGTTGTGCCGGCTGCGCAGCGCACAGCCGTACCTGCGCAGCTTCAGCCTCTGCCTCTTGGCTGCGCACCACACCCGCAGGTTTGCGTACGTCATGACCGCGGAGCACGGGAAAAAGATCAAGCAAGTCAGGCTCAGGGAGTAGGCCACGTTCGTGGAGTAGGACGGGTTGCAGACCAGGGACGCGGTGGAGAAGTGGACCTCGATGATGCCGCCCGGGAACGAGATTGGCGACAGCAGCGCGAGGGGGAAGCACCAGGCGAAGGCGATGAGGAGCAGCGTCCTCCTCCGCGTCATCAGGGCCGAGTACTGGAGCGGGTAGAACACCGCCACGTACCGCTCCAGGCTGATCGTGGCCAGGGTGTACATGCAGGTGGAGTAGACCGTGGCGTTGCAGAAAGCCACGACGTGACAGAGAGCGTCTGGGCCCTCGGTGTAGTCCTTCAACAGACTCACCCAGAGGTTCAGGGGCATGACCAGCAGCCCGAACGCGGAGTCCGCGGCGGTGAGAGACAGGAGGAAGTACCGGGAGTTCCTCGACCAGCCAGCCACGGAGGAGGAAATAACCAGGAGAACCGCRACGTTGCCCAAAGTGATCATCACTCCCAGGACGATGATGATGCAGACTTTGATGGAGCGGTGGTTCAGCTCCTGCAGCCTCTGACAGTCAACATCTGACACGTTGGAGGTCGAGAGGTTAAGTGCTGGGAACATGGYTCTTCACAGAGACATCAGTGCCAGTAAATCATAAGTCTCAACAGAAGAAGAAAAAAGTGTTGAAAATCAGCCAAAGTATGGGCAAAAAAATTACATTAGAGAGCAGCAGCTGCAGGTTCCCTGACTGCAACAATCAGCTGCACACCTGCTGCAATTAGTGAGGAGAGCAGTCCACCTTCCAAAATGCACCCGTCCATTACTGCAGAAAGCTCTTTTCATAATGGTTTTTTTAATGGTGGTTAATATTACACTAACTTGCTAAATTGCACTTAATCTACATGTAGTTTATGTATTCAGGAGAGGAAATTACAGATCAGATTAAAAGTAAAATCTTTGTTGCTGAAAAGGAAGTGGTTCAAAATGAAAATAGCATTAATAACTTTTAGAACTGTTGACTGAGAATCATTTCTAACTTTATTTATTTATTTATTTATTTATTTATTTATTTTAAATTGCAAAACTAAAATAGTCAAACTTTTTCTTTAGTAACAATAAACTGGATTTCCTATTACATGGCTCCAAGTATACGACCTTATTCTGAATAAAATAAATCACTGAGTCAACATTTAATTTTAAACAAACATTTTTATGTTTACATGTGTAGTTTAGATATTGTCTCGTTTTTTTTTTGTTTTGTTTTTTGTTTTTTGCAATTTTGTGGCAACGCATTACTGCTAATGTGGTTTTTTTTTTCATTTAACACTCCACTTTGTTTCTTCTAATACAGTCTACGTTTGTTTTTCTTCCAGCCATTTGCCCTCAGAGAGTTACTGTTTTGTATGCCGTTCATGTGAGATGTTGGAAGTGGTATGATAATTTCATGTGCATGTATTTAGGTCCACAGGGGCTGATGGGGGAGGTTGGAGGAACGTTTGGGGGCAGCCGTAGGTCAGTCATATAAACACACCGCTGGAGTGATATTTGTCTTATTTTTCCCCCCTGCATGTTTGTTTGTGAAGCTTAGAAGTTTCCGATGCAGTCCCATCCAAGTCAACATCAAGATTTTATTCATTGGCTCATTATGCATAATTGTTAGGCTTATCCACACTCTCCCTAAAATATGCAGAAAGTGACCTGCGGGCTCTATTTAGCTCTCAGCCATGCAAGACTTTAGTTTGATCCAGTGTGTTTCTCTCACTAGTGGAACGTGTAATACCTTTAGAATTACAGACCAAACATTTGTGATATAACTCAATAATTTACCTTACAGAAATGGTCCAAAATGTCTGTGCATGTTCCTTTTGCGTAAGCAAGTTAAATAGGCCTATTAGTTGTACATAAAGCTTGRAAGAAAGAAAAGTCATTTCTGACTGCATTCACAAACTATTCTATGAAAGTTACCTCGGGTTTCCACGAGCAGTCAAAAAAATAATTAAAAAAAAAGTCGTGCACAGCTTGACGTCTCACAACCAATCAAGGTCCAATTTCTGAGATCACACACCATCAGTGTTTTGTGTCTCTGCTGTGTAGAAGCTGCGTTTCATAAGATCTTTATGACAGAAGGACAAACGWAAAGACCAGGAAAGATTGGAGCTGACCTCCCCCACACAGGTCACCTCTGCTGTGAGTGATGTAATGCTGCAGTAAAACGAATCCAAACAATGATTCATGAAAGAATCGCCTGCTTTTTTAGTGTCTTCATTGTTTAAAACATTGTTCATTTATTTTCTTTTATTCATGACATCAGCATGACAAAATCTTTTGTATTCTCAAAAAAAAAAACAGTCAACAAGAATATTAAATCCATTTATTTTGTTTAATTATATTTTGTGTCCAAAAAGTTCAGTTCATGTGCATTTTACCTTAGATTCTGATGCTGCGGTATTAGCTGCTACAGTTTATCATGAGACACATCTGTCAAAGTAAAGTTATACGGGACATTCTCAAAACGGCAAAAACCACAAATATTTTCTCATCTGTTACTATTCATGGACTTTCAGAGCACTGGTTACCAAGCTTTTCAGCTTCATCCAACCAACAAAATAACAATTGCAGAAGCTTGCGACCTCAAGGGTCCTCATCCTATTTTTGGAGAACAGCTGCTGTAAAGGAAAAATTACCATTCGTTTTTTTATTTTATATTATTTAATTTATTTATTTATTTATTTTCCCAGTGTCTTAAGGCACATTTCTTGCTTAGTGGAGTCCAACACAAGCCTGAACTAAGCTTAATGTTCTCAGTTCACCCTTTTATGGTCGTTGCACAATCTGCTTGTTCCTTTTCTCAGTGGATGCTGTTTTGTTGAGGGGAGGGGGGCTGCTAGCTTCTGAATGACTGAGAATCTGCACTAGAATCCTTGTAAATTTGGCTACACAATAAGCTATAATTGGAATGCTGAATTACCTTAAAAAAACAGGCAATTATTTCACTCATAAATCTGACATTTCTCGACTGACAGTCTTCCACTTGTGTCACTGTGCTGCCACACTTCCTGTCTCCAGAGATGAATCCTTGTTTAGTTGAACCACCCTGAAAATGTGCATCATCCAGAACAAACACACTAAAAATCTTGTGTTGTGCTCATTGATGCTCGACACTGAAAGGGTTCTGATTCTGTTGGGAAGTTCAGCACCACAACCACCAATAATAATAATTACAGATTTTATTATTATTATTATTATTATTATTATTATTATTATAGATTTATCAGTGATAAATTTGCACAAATTACCATTTTTGCACCAGATACTTAAATGAGTAGGAGTGCAAAGTGGTACAAAAATAAAGCATCTGCTGCTTTCGTATTGTTTATTTGAGCCTCCATTATTGCTTACAGGAAATATATTTATTTCTTTGTTTTGCTCAAGTATCTGTGTGAAATTCAGTGCTTGTGTGCATCATAGTACAAAAATAACTCGCAACACAATGCTTTGTCAGTTTGAACACAATCAGTCATCAATGAATGAGTCAGTGCACATTTTTAAAGAAAGAAGGAAGGGCGCTTTGAGACATTTTCCGTCGCATTTCATTCATGAATTCAGTTATGTGTTTTTTTAAAAGATTTCATTGTGGCTCAAATTATGAGGCTTTTCAGTGACAGAGAGTGTGTGTGTTTTTATGTTGGGTCTGCACTCGTGGGTGTGAACACTGCAGCCCCACTTGCTCGGAGGTATGTGTATAAAAATGGTTGATCCCAAGCGAACATGAGCGAGATAGGGAGAGGATGAGTTTGTACATGCGATTGAATATCCTGTGAGTGGGTAGACTCCTCCATTGGCCACCTACTGTGCAGCACTTCCTGATGTGGAGGAAGGTAGCCATTGATTTGATCTGTGTGTGCGCTTGTGATTATTCGTGCTTGTGTGAGAGAGGGAGGTTTTGTGTGGGCAGTAACGCTATCTAATTCTACCAGTGAGGGTTGGTGCATGATGTTTGGGAGAGATAGTGCAGCGAGGAGGTTTGATGGATGATTGCATAAAAAAAACACTCGCTGTCTATGTTGACAGTGTGTCTAACTGATAACAAGACTGTTGGGAAACACAAAAGCCAAGCTGGCAGGTTTGAAGTTATTAATGTGGTTTCTTTTATTGTTTTTGGACTTCTCGGAGAGTCAACATTTAATTTTGTTTGCTGCACTGTAGTCGATGTTAAAAGTCTCATTTCCTCTTCAGAAAAAGGCTTGTATTGCTCTGGAAGAGTGACTGGCTACAAAGGGCAAATCCTACTTTTGCGCTGACCTTTAATTATTATTCTTTTTATCACTGGCTCCAACTAAATCAACAAGACCCAACAGACTACATTTTGGTAACCTTGCTGATTTGTCAAATAACAGCTCTGCGGCAGCTGTAGTAGAGTGGTTAGGGGAGTCGTCTTGTAACCGGACAGTTGCCGGTTTGATCCCCCCGTTCCAGCCGTTTCAGTTGTTGTGTCCTTGGGCAAGACACTTCACCCACCTTGCCTACTGATGGTGGTCAGAAGGTCCGGTGGTGCCGGTGCATGGCAGCCCCGCCTCTGTCAGTGTGCCTCAGGGCAGCTGTGGCTGTAGCAGTGTGTGAATGGGTGAATGACTGTAAGTCTTCTCAAATTTATTTCAATTTTTATTTTGCTATTTAACAGCACAATGATGCTGAAGCTGAAAAGTCTATTATTAAACAGAATAAGCTCTGCAGACATCATGTATTATGTTCATGCAGAAAGAAAATACTTTTTAATACAATTTTTATATTTAGTTTCAGAATGTTGTTAATAAACTTCACACTTTTAATTATTGCAGTCGATAATCATGTGTTTAGCTGACATCAATTTAGTAGAAAACACACTCGAAGAAAAATAAAAACAATGTGTTTGGCACCTTAATAAAATGATTTACAATGGAGCAAAATGGGAGTGGCACACAATAAAGTATACAACTTAGAAAATATTGTTTCCTGAGTATTTAATGCATAACATATAACTGAAGCTGAAGATCCGTCCTCATATTCTATCTTGTGAAACTGTGGAAAGAGGATAGTAATTCACACAATGATAGTGTGTTACCACCAGATAATAGGACTAAAAGCTTTCCACAGAACCCCACTTCAAAAGATGTTAACTACTGCTTTAAAAAAACGTAAAGTGATCAAAATATTACAAAATAAAATGTGATTTCATAACCTTAAAAATACTTTCACAGTAGGACTGTATATTATCTAGTATCAGTCGTATATGAACTTTAAATACTGATTTAAATGTGTCATGAATAAATTAATGGGAGAATTTTATGTAAAGGGCAAATTTATTCTTTTTCAGGATGTCTATTACAGATAAAAGAGAAATCACCAAGGTTTTATGAGAAAAATGTTTGTTCACCAGGCTGCATGTAGAGCAAATTTTATTCTCTGGCCTTTGCTGATGCACTGTGTGTTGTTACAGAAAGGAAAGCATTTAGAGACCTTCTTCCTCTGCTCATCACAACCTTCCAGTCTTATTCTGTCAACTCCAGAACCTACCTGCCTCTCTGCTTGGAATCTAAAACGTGATGAAAATATTTGTTGTGTCACATTGACTGCATTCAAATTAAACGTGAAAGTTTAAAAATCAAAGTTGTAGAAGTGTCTCATAAATCTTGCACTTGTACATCTTCACTCAGAGAGTATTCTGCATCATCCTTAAGAGATTTTACTCTGAGGCCAATAAGTTAAAATGGTCAGTAATAAATAAAGTGTGCAGCTGTCTCATTGAAACTATACCAAAAATCAAGGACACATATAAACTTTCATCTTTTTCTTGTCGTGTCATATAACTCTGACACACACTCAGTCAGTGTGTCAGGATGGAGCCAAGAGGTGAGGAAGTAGAAAAAGCCTTGTTTACAGCACTGCTCTGACATTAATAGGTGAGGCATCCCACTAACAGGAAATGATAAACTGTAGGAACTGAAAATGCTTGTCCCCCCACCGTCTGGACATTCAGTTTATAGCTCAACTCGCAAAAAGCAGCAGCATGGGTCAGCTTCATCAAAAGTCTCTTTTCAGCCTTGTCTGCAGGCGTAACTGTGCCTTTTATCGCTTGGTTCCTGATGGATGTGCAGGAAAATGTTTATTGTGTGACGTCATCCATGTGTGCGTCAAACCT